AAATAATCTTAATCAATATTGACATTCTTAATAGTTCAATAGAAACAGATTCACTCTATTTTGAGATGAATAATATTAGACTGCCTCGTTGGCCCAATGCTCCCAAGTGCGAATGCTGGGCAAGGGGTCTCGGGTTTGATTCCCGGGTCGAGCAGAGGATAAATGGGTTTAAAAAAAATCTCAGTAGTAGCACGGAGTCTGGAATTGTGCCCGGTATATGACAATAGGCTCACCCCCTATTAAATGGGACTCATAACATAAATAGTGAAAAGTGGGTGTTACATTGTACAGTGGCATAATGTGCACCTCTGCCTACCCCTTCATAAAAGGCGTGATGTACTGAGTACATGAAGTTTTATTTCTGCGAATGTTTTTTAACACAGACATACAGGGTGTAAAGGAAACGCTCAAGGAACGTATGGGTAAAAAAAGAAAATGTTTTTATTATTTATTTCATTTATTTTATTTATTTTAAAACTTTTTGCACAAATGTATACAATGGTGGGCTAAATGCCAAATGTCATTCTCTACCAGCCAACCACAGAGCGATGCAGAGAAGAATTTTTTACAATTTGAATTGTTTTATTTTCGTATTATTCATGCAACATAGCCCATGTTCATGAGCAGTTGATTACAATTAACATAACATTACATAAAATTATTGCAGAAACTTTCAAATCCTTACCTTTATGAATATAAAACTTACTTATTTTTTATTGTCATCTGCATTATTTATTGTCTTTAAGGTTATTTTCTTTTTCCATCTCTTTGACTGGTTTTTGGTGTTAACTTCATTGTTCTCGCATAATCGAACCAGTAAAACTATGTAATTGTAGAATTGTATTGTGAACCTGATTGGAAAAGAGTAACCTATGGAGTTTCTTGCTCGTTCTTCTCCATAGGAATCTACACCTTGGAATGAGCAATTAGCTTCACTTTTAAATTTCTATTGCTGACGTTCAAAAGTGCCTTCCTGATGATGATTTATATTAATTGAAACAAATGATTTTGACTTTGATTTTGACATCTAACAGATGTTCCATTTTACTAGCGTTCTGTTTACACTCTGTATAAAAGAGGTTTGGTGGAGTTTGGGGAAAAATTTAGACGGATGTAAAATACTGGTTTTACGTAAAGGATAACGCTATTTGCACGGACCCTCTTTACCTACACATTCACTTCAAAAGCCCATCTGTTCCTGTCTGTTATCTGAACGAGATTCATCTCAAAGCTCGACCTGCCATTTTCAACAAAAAATGTACGATACCTATCTGTACCTACTTATTTGCAACGATTTTAATAAATGGTCTGTTGGCCATGTTAGAATGCGCAAGTGATTTGGTTAAAATCTTATTATTTCTTTCAATCATTAGTTTGTTTTCGTTTCCCTGCCATAATAGCCAAATATAATCATGACGAGACACTTATAATCCAATAAATCTCCAAAATCACACTATGATGCCCGATCTTCATTTATACACATTCTGTTTAATCGTCCACCGTATTAATACAAGTAATATTAGTTTCTAGTCTAAATTTTGCGCCAATTAATGTTGCCGATTAATCCTCTGGTTGATGTTGTATGTTTAGTTGGTTTAATTAGTTCAATAGTTATTAAGAAGTAAATTTGTTCTAACAATATAACGTTGTGATATATAGTTCGAAAACTTTACTGGCTCATAGGGCAAAAGTCTCAGCTATCTCTCGACAAAAAAATACTGTTGTACAAGGCAATATTAAAGTCCATCTGGACATACGGGATCCAATTGTGGGGCACCGCATCTCACTCAAATATAGAAATTATACAGAGGTTTCAAAATAAAGCTCTGCGTATGATAACCAACGCACCCTGGTTTGTACCCAATGAGCTGCTACACCATGACCTACGAACGCCCACTGTAAAGCAGGAAATCATACACCATACCAAATGCTATAATGAAAGAATCCAACAACACCCAAATACTCTGGCTCGGTCACTAATGGACAATCACAACAAAACGCGACGATTAAAGCGCAAAATACCTCAAGACCTAATCCAACCACAGTAATTATAACTACTGTTTAAATAATGAAGATGTGGCACAGGCCACATACTGAGCGAGTCTGCGTCAGCACAAACCGATATACTTCTGAATGTCCCACGAAGGAGACAGATTGTAGTATTTAATAATATAAAAAAAAAATATATAGTTCAGTGGTTTTTATTTATTTATTTTATTTCAACTTCATACAACAAGTGTGTACAGGTGGACTTAATGCCATGGGCATTGTCTCCCAGTCAACCTTTAAGCAGTGCAGAGATGAAAGTAGCAGGTGATTTAAACCTTTATAAATAGGCAATGTACCAGTGTAATAAATGGTTTTTGTTTAGTATTCCTGAAGATATTCTGTACAGCTCCCTTGTTCAATTAGATTGGCAGTAATAGAAAATTGTAGGATTTAATAGTAATATTGAACTGTATAAACATTAGTAACTTCTTGATACACAACATCTAGACACTTATAATGATAATCAAATACAACCTATTTAGGTTTCTCTCGTACGAGAGAAAGTAGAACGGGAACAAGTTACGTATGAGCAAAAGACAAACTGAAACGACACGTAACCAACTATTTTAATCCTTCGTCTCGTTAAGCAGTAACCACTCAATCAGTATTCATTAAGTTGTATCTAATTATAAATTCTTCCTGTATTAATTCATTTATCCTTCAAAAGAATTAATTAGCTCGCATTTGAGGTTTAATTGACATTACAGCCTACGCTATTCGTTAGACATGACAACAAAGGAAATTTTGTTGACCTTTCGTTGTATCGATAAAATGTCAGATTTTTCCCTCGTCTATTTGTTTAAGACTATAGGTATCTTATATACTTCAAGGTTTTATGATGCAACTAAATTGTGAAATAGACAACTTTAACTGATGGAGTTGTTATACACGCCTAGCTTGCATTCACATAATAATGACTGACACCGGCTGCTCTGTAAGATGTCAATTCGAACTTTTCTGTTGAGAATATGATGAATGACATGACGGACTACGATCGAGTTCACTTCGGTCTTTCGAATAGAATTGAAAGTTACAAAATAGCATGGCTGATTGTAAATAGAAAAATAAAACACTTTTCTTACATGGTCTATGGGTGAAATAAGATTAAAATCTATTTTTATTTTTTTTATGTGATAGACACACAAATACCAGAGGCGTTACAAGTGTGTTACAATCAGCCTTTGGGGGTTAGGAATTTCATAATTGTTGGGGATTCGGGGATTAGAGAGGGGGATAATTGGGCCTCCGGTAACCTCGCTTACAAGATGAAATCATTAGCATTGTTTCACGTCGGTTTTCTGTGAGGCCGTGGTATCACTCCGGTCAAGCTGGCTCATTCGTGTCGAAGCATGGCTCTCCCCACTCTCCCACACTGTTGTCATAACTTATGACATGCGTATCTAACAAATCTCTTAAACGGTTGGTCATAGTAAAATTTTGTTTTACATTTTAAAACTTTGTATAACATTTTCCACAAAGCATTGAATTTCAAGGTTTCACAAAGCGAATTTATTTTTACACTGTCTTTCCTTCAAGCTTACCCACCATTAAGAAACCTGATAGTCATCAAACATTTTAAGGCTTTTTTGTTAAATAAGCATCGTTTACCTGCTTTGTGGTTTTATTAAATGAATTATGAAAAAAGCATGTCTGCCATGATATGATAATGGTAGCGTCACCTAAACAAACCCGGTGTATAATTATATATTTAATGACTAAATCATTATCGATTCTTATACATATTCGATATCTTTGACTGGTTTTGGGTGTTACATTGTTCTCGCACAATCGAACCAATAAAACTGTAACTGGAGAATTATATTGTGAACCAGATGGGAAAAGATTAACCTATGGAGTTTCTTGCTCGTTCTTCTCCATAGGAATCTACATCTTGGAATGAGCAAATAGCTTCACTTTTAAATTTCTATTGCTGACGTTCAAATGTGCCTTCCTGGTCTAATTGCAATAAATGATTTTGACTTTTGACTTTGACTTTGATTACTTTATAAACTACGTTTAAAAAAACCGACTTCAAAATCGGTTCAGTCAATCACGAGATAATCGCGCATAAACATACATACATTAATACTTTCTGAGGCCTTCGTACGAATTTATTTTAGTACGCGTTCGGCGCTCAGATTGGTGGGTTCATTCGAGCCGGCCAATCAGAGCGCAGAACGCGTACTCGTTTCGAATACTTTAAACGTAAAACAAACTCGTACTCGTATCGTATCGTCGCAGATCAAACTGAAAATCTACTTTTTTTGAAGTCGGTTAATTACAGCATCACAGCTTAACAGGATATAAAGACCTTCCGGAATTGAATATACGATGAAAAATAATTTTATAGACATGCGTTTATCGTAGATAGATATTGGTTTATTTTTTAAATTATATTAAATACTTTGACATTTAAAACTGACTGAAATAGTAGATTTTTTGTACCCCTTGATTTATTGTATTTACGATTTGACGTTGCAGAAAACTGTTTTTCCGATACAATAGCTTTACGATTTGTTTATATCAAAATGTCAGTGAATTTAATGTACAAAGTACACAGCGTAAGTTGATTAATTAAATCCATGCTTTAACGTTTTTACTATTGACTGTTGGAAAAGATATTTCAAGATAAATTGCTTATTTTGGGATTGCACTTTTTATAATAATAATAAATTTAGATTTCTTACGTTATGAGTTCCAATTATAACATTAAAAGGCAGCATAGAACGGCCTATATCCTATTAGCATAGACCGGTCTCTATGATTCTGGTAATACAAAATTATTTCAAACTCCATGCTATACCTGATACATTGTTTAGATTGCCCAGTCGCGCACAAAATTATGCACACGACCCTATAGGTACTTATGATTGCGACTAATCAACAAACGATGCAATGTTCAGTCACAGTTTCTCAAATAAAATGTTTAATCAAGTAATTTTTTGTTGCAGTGTGACGAATATATTTCTGGTGAACCTGTCGGCTGCAGACCTGCTGGTAACGGGGATCTGCATGCCTATCCAGCTCAGCAAAGCCATCACCCTCGTCTGGTTCTACGGGGAGACAGTCTGCAAGATTGTCAATTATATTCAAGGTAAGTTTCATATACGACCATAAATATGTATAGACAGTTTCGACTGCTTCGAGATTAGAGACTTCATTCAAAATTTTATCTCATGAACACGTAGGTAGGTCATAAATCAAACAGCATTTAATTGAAAAATTCTCAATCAATAAACTGAATGTGATTTTTAATTGGTGAATTTTATTCAATTAATTTAGTTTATATATTCTCTCGGTCTACTGGCATTCAAAGTAATACCATTCGACTCATAGCACAGATATCAGCAATAATCTTTTAATGAAATAAGTCGGCAAACTAGTAGACAGATCACTTGTTGGTAAACAATCGGAAACCACCACCACCACCACTATTAGTAGAGTATTCGGGATTTAGGAATTGTAAAGATTGGGTTGGTGGATAATTGGGCCTCCAGAGACCTCATTCACACAACGATACACAGAGCAAGCTTCTGCAACACGGAACACAAAATTCCTAACTGATGGTACTTTGTAATTTCTGTCTATCTCCACATGAGACTAAAGCCTGTATTATGTCATGTCTTTATTATGTATTAACTAAAAGTCCGTTTAGCCGTGGTTTAGTCTGAAGCTCTAGTCTCATTGATAGGTAGCTCATAATTTGCTGATGCTTCTAGTCAGGTATTGTTGGTATGTATTATTTGATGCTATGAAAATTGTATAGTATTGTAAATTTTTCTTTTTTATCGCAGAAAGGTATCCTTTTTGTACCGGGGAAAAAATTTATTTAAGTACAATCATTTTTCTAATGAATTATTTTTTTCTGTTAAATCGTAAAATCATCGTTCTACAAAACATGTTTCGTTTAAAATACAATCTACACCAATTGTAGTCTTTGAGGATGAAATTATAATTAAAAATAGTCAGATCATTAGAATACCAGCAGAGAGATAGTACGCGATTAATGGACGACATTTTCCCCCGAGCACAGTTAAACGTCTCTTTGTTATTTCACCAGAGATTTCGGATAGACCAACAATAACGATTATCTAGTACGAAAAGCAGGCCGAAATATATTTTTTGTTCTTTGTAATAAAGTTTAGGATTGCAGATAGGTATCAGGTTTCTAAAGAAACAGCTGTTTTGTTTTTTAATAAAACATGGCTGTCGGTGTCGGTTGACGTAGTTCTTTGTGAATAGATTTGAAAAAAGAACTGCTAGGTACATCTACATTGGTTGCAAATGAAAATATTTGGCCTGTGTTTTGGACATTTTAATATTATTAAATTAAAAACAATTATTAATTGTCATTAAAGTGTGAACTTTTAGAAATCTCGTAATCGATTCTCGAAACAAACAAACACAAAAAATCACAAAATGGTAAAAATATGAAACTTATAATTCATAAAAAATTGTGCGATCAGCTATCAAATAAATAATCTATCAGTGAATAAAAGGCCCCATGCTACGTAATGCATTATTTTTCCAAATACCTATCTGTAGGTATGTCTTTTACGGTTCCACATCAGATGACGTCACCCATCTACGACTCTCGCCAGGAAACACATGTTAGTCGTTCACTTTACGACCAGCAATAAGGAGTGAGCTAATAGCTTCTGCTTTAACTACGCCAATCACATATCACTTGTTGCTATGCACGAACAACAACACAACCCAAAAAAAAAAAAACAAAATTCTTTAACAGATTTTCGATTTTCGTATATGGGGATAAAATTCGGAGTTGTTAGACCATGACCTTGTGATGACGTGTGGTACGTAATGAAATCAATTTATCCATTTTTAGGATGAAGAGATTCAACGACTTATGTGGTACTTATAATAAAATTTATCATTTTTTGCACCAATTTCTTGTTTTTTATTAATGAAGGATTAGTCTTGAAACCTGGGTATGTACCTAATAGGTTTAAGTCTAAAATCACCTAAAATAAATTCAATGCCAATTCTAACTCCACTTGAAAACAGGTTTTTTTACCCAGCTCAGATACAAATTCAAACCACTTTAGTAATTTTACTTGTACTTTAGAGTGGGCCGGCTTGACCGTAGCGATACCACGGCTTCATTGAAAACCCATGTGATCAACGCTTGCGTTGTGTTTCGTCGTTTGAGTGAGGCACAATTACACCCCCCCTCCCCAATCTCTCCAATCCCAGAATCCTTAACAATCCTCAAATTCCTAATCGCTAAAAGGCCAGTAACGCACTTGTAATGCCTCTGATGTTCAAGGTGTCTATGGCCGACGCCAATTGCTTACCATCCGGCAGTGACCCGGCTTAACTTATAAAAAAAACAATATCGATTCAAGGAAACATTATGTTCACTGATTTTGTTCATGTTTTCCCTTTCTATTCTGGTACATTTGTTTATGTACCTAATTATGTATGTGTGTACACACGTATAGGGAAGATATTTATGGTGTATCTCAAGGTTCCTCGAGGTAATTAAAGTCACTTGTTGCCGTAATGCTTCGTTTAAGGGCCTCTTGACGTCAGTTGCGTTTTATGGTGATATCAACGATTTTACTACGATGATAGTGAGAACTGAACGGTCTTGACACACTTTCTTGTTTATGAATATTTCTATTTAGGCTATGGATTAGAATATTGCATTTGGATAATTAATCAAACTGCCTCGACTGCCTCTTTGGCCGAGTGGTCGCAAGTGCAACTGCCGGGCAAGGGGTCTCGGGTTCGATTCCTGGGTCAGGCAATGTATTACTGGGTTTTAAAAAAAATCTCAGTAGTAGCACGGAGTCTGGAATTGTGCCCGGTGTATGGCAATAGGCTCACCCCTTATTACTTTCATGGGACTCATAACAGAAATAGTGGAAAGTGGGTGTTACATTGTACAGTGACATAATGTGCACCTCTGCCTACTCCTTCGGGGATAAAAGGCGTGCTGTTATGTTATAATTATTAATAAAACTGTGATAGTGTAGTTTGAGGTCTATGGCTGAGTTAATAGAACTGAAATCGCAACTGTTTTCATTTGTACCTTTGAATTCTAAAGTTTCAATACCTACGTTTTAAAAATAAGATTAGCTTAGCTTTGTAACATTTACTTTGAAAACGATTAAAGTAAAACATGATAAAACCTCTTATATGAAATCTTTTACAATTTAGTAAGAAATACGTAGTTGCCTGAGTCCAACTTAAAAATCACATTTAAATTATGAGGTTTATTAGTAGATAGTTCAGCAATATTTGTCTAATCTCATAGATAAATAGCGACAGCACTTTACGTAACCTATTTTACTTTTGTTCCAGGAGTCGCAGTAGCAGCCAGTGTGTTCACGATAACAGCAATGTCAGTGGACCGATGGCTCTCAATCTCCCCTGAACCACGGCTCCGACCTCCTGGTAGAAAGCAGGCACTGCTTCTGCTGTTTCTCCTCTGGTGTGCTGCATTACTAATATTCATACCACTGCTGATGGTAGCCACTGTGAGAAGGGAACCAGTCCCTATCATATCGAAGGCGCTGAAAAATATATCGGTAAGTATTGTGTAATATCACAATGTTATAATATTCTCTTATGTTATAATATCACTATAAATAAGATCTCAGTAGTAGCACGGAGTCTGTGGATTTGTGCCCGATATATGGCGATAGGCTCACCCCATATTACATGCGACTCATAACATAAATAGTGAAAAGTGGGTGTTATATTGTACAGTGGTATTAAATGCCATAATGTACACCTCTAGCTACCCCTTCGAGGATAAAGGGTGTGATGTTATGTTATAGTAATAAGTACTAGTTAGATTTATGTATATGAAGAGTATATATACTCTGTTTATGGAATAAAAGAAAAATAATTTATCATTGTTACTTAAGTCAATTAAGGAATGACATAAGGAAAGCATCATCATCCTTGCGTAAAACCACATATAAACACATTGATTGAGTACATTTATTGTAAAATCATGGTTAAGATATTTGAAACAAAAGGCTCTTATGTTATTCGTACACTTTGCAATTTGATTGTGTATGTAAATACAATGACTCTACAGAATACTACTAAAACAGACTAGGCCTCAAGACATAGGGAATCCTAGCGTGGGGATCAGGGTCATTTAAAAATGTAGTGTGAAGCTTTTTGTCAATAAACATTCAATTGTTTAACAAAATATTCTAAAATGTTGTTAAAAACGGTATCTCTGGAGTCAAATTAATTATAATTATTACTTTACCCGGAACGTGGATCTACGAGGGACAAAATGTATTTTTGATTGCAGTAGTTTTAGTACACTAGTACACACACACACAAGAGCTTAATCACATAGATTGTGACAGTGAAAGTGAATCGAACATACTCCTGCCTACCCTTTCAGGGAATAAAAAGAAAGACATTATACCTTAATGTCTAGAAAAAAGGCGCAATGGTCTCTCATTCCAGAAGCCTGTCCAGTTTATTATTTTTCTAGGAAATCGCTGTTGCCTTGGCATAGTTTTGCAAAATAATAAAAAGGATAAAAAGTAGAAGAGAGTCAAATAACATGAAGTCTATTATTGTACTCTTTTCTCTAATATTATGTTTCTTTCCATTCAGTTTTCTTTTGTTTATTTTACATTTTCTTTACCTTCTATTTATTTTACATTTTCCTTAAATTATTATGTTTTCGGCTTACTCACGTGATAATTTGACGAGGAACTCGACTAGTTTCAAGCCATGCTAGAGGCTCATATTCATGAGCAGCATTTCGCGACCCGCGACGCGGCGACTGTCGCGTTGCTACTAGGTACTCGAGTCTACGGGCCCAGCGCGCCCTCTGCCGTGATTCACGCGTACTTTCCTCCACTCGTGGTATCAGCGACGGCGGTGCGCGGGACACTGTTGGCTCGCTAGACTCGCCCGCCGGCGCCGGTCGCTGCGTTGGTGTTGGGTTCGAATCCCGGGTCGACGCAAAAACAGTGTTACATACCGCGCTCACTGTGTCAAACTCCAGATTTCAAACTCGGCTTCCAGGCAGGTAGTAATGCCCAGCCACCGTCTCTGTTAAATGTCAGACGACGGCTTATTTCGATGGCCTCACGTACTTCTCGCGGTACGAAGTATTTCTCCCTCGTCAGTACTGAGACCTTTTCGAAACGGAGGAAGTGAGCCGTGCCCGTGCTACACGCATGCTCGGCTACTGCCGATGTATGAGAGTCAAGGTTCTTCACACTGCGTACATATGTGTTCCTTAAGACTGGTTGTGATGTTGCGGCAAGTTTCCCCGATGTAACTCGAGCCACAGTCGCACGGTATCATGTATACTCCGGTAACTGCCAGTGGATCTTTGTCCTTAGACGAGCGCAGTAAATTTCGTAACTGACCAGGAGGGCGGAAGATCGTCCTGATGTCTACGGCATAACAGGTGTCCGATGGTGTCGGTTACTCCTTTCACATAGGGTAAAAATGCTGGAGTCCGTTCCGCAACTGCCGGTCGTCTTTTACTTGAGCTCGCCATTCGAGTACATTGACGCCAGTTGTACTCATTATTTTCCAGTACCTGTCTCAGGTGGTTGAATTCCGCGTCGATGTACTGGGGATCACACAGGTCCTAGTCTGAAATCTGTGTCAAATTACAGTGTTGCGAGTCTGGAGTGTGACACAGTGAGCGCGGTATGTAACACTGTTTTAGCGTCGACCCAGGATTCGAACCCAACACCAACGCAGCTACCGGCGGGCGAGTCTAGCGAGCCAACAGTGTCCCGCGCGCCGCCGTCGCCGATACCATTTATAAATTTTTTTTTATTTTATTCAATGTCTTGGTTCGTTGTCGTCCACCACCTATTGTAAATAAGCGAAACATCTTCTCCGTAAGTGATTAACAAAGACTATTTAGTCAAGAAGAGAATCATAATGACAATATAGTTTTTGTCCGATTTGATAACTTCATTAATTAATAATAAGTCAAAGTAATAAACAATCCACAATAACATATGTTGACACATCTCTATTACTTCAAGCACAGAAAGACATAATTACACAACTAAAACTTTTGATTCCAAACCTTATTACGACCTCGTTATGGTAACAACTTGTATGAAACGCTAACAACATTTACAACTTTGAGGGATAATTGCATAGACAGACATTAATTTGATAACTTGTGAAACGTAGTAATTTGTTTTTAATTAATTTCTATTATAAATTGAGTGTCGGCAAAGTTCAGTGCTCAGAATAAACATATTTTGCTTTACGTATTATAATGAAAGTTTTGGTGAAGATAAACAAAGAATTTTCAACTGTCTAGCTTAAACATAGAGTTTAATTTGATTCACTGACAAATTGGTGCTTCGTTAGCGAAGTCCTAATGTTCTTAACTGTCAATTTTGGAATTTACTTCAGTAATTGAATAAAGAGCACATGTTCACACTTCCATTGGCCATCACGAGCCTTGTGCAGGTTAAACCTTAGCTGTGGCGTAGAACCAAACTTCGCATATGTCACTTGTCATATTTCACTTGTAGATAAGAGACAATATATTTGTCGAATTTCAAAAATAAAGCTCAATGTTGTAGACGAATCCGAGTGTGAGCATGTGCGGCGCCCCTTAGCAATTACTACACTCATTTTTATCTATTAAATGTTGTTGACTTTGACTGAATATAAGTCTTCTCTAATGTACTTATGTCCCAAGACAGCAACTAGCTAGTAACAGGCTGGTGCTATGTCATAAAAATTTATACTTTACCTCCTTAACACGTCGAGTACCGGTTTTGTAGACACAATTATAGAACAATAGGTTGCGGTCACCGGTGACCGCTTGGTGTTTGACAGTTTAATATAAGGTATATGAACCGTTTTGGCAGCCTATCATAAAAAAGAATCTTTAATTATGATAGGTTAACAACATTCTTGTTTTCACTGAAATTGAAACTTTACAAACACTTAAACTAAAACCTTAGTTTAGTTTAGGTGCTCCTTCACGCTAACTCTCAGTTAAGTGACAGTTTAGGGTTGATTACTATTAACCGCCATAAGTCACCGATATATGACGATAAGATTCAGACTGGGAGAAAATGCCTGCGGCATTAAGTGCACATTATGTACACTTTGTGCGCTTAAATAAATAAATATATTTGAGAATGATGTATGATCACGGACTTAGGACCAGGGTTTAATATAATGTATAATGTATTGTAACTACAAACGACTAAATGATACTATTCATTCTAGATAGAAACGAGAGACGTGCACTTCTGTACCGAGGAGTGGCCTGGAATGGACAGAAAGAAACAGTTCGGCATGCTGAGCTTCACACTCGTGTACGCCATACCAGGTATGTTAACAACTACAATAAAAGGTGACATATGTGGAAGTGGCACGAATAGACTGGCTCAATCGGAGTGATACCACGGGCTCACAGAAAACCGATGTGAACAATACTTGCTTTGTATTGCGTCGTGTGAACTAGGTTACAGGGTGTACATTTACTTCTCTCCCAATCTCTCCAATTCCCAGTCAGAAACTCTTAACCCGCAAGATCGGCAAGTCACTTGTAATGCCTCTCGTGTTTACGATGTCCATGGGCGGCGCCGATTGCCTTCCATCAGGTAATCCATGGGGTTGTTTACGGGCCTATTCCATAAAAAAGGAAATTAACCTATAACCACGTAAGTCTTTAAATGTCTAACAAGAATTGAATATTGATCCTTTTCCTTTTTATTAGATTCTGGACGAACAGACGCGGATAATAATGAGCCATTCAAACAATAGATTTTGATTTTATGACAAAAATAAGGGATTTTTTTTATATTATAGTTTGACAAAGAGTAAGGCCATGCGTGTAATGCAATAGTTTGGAATGAAAGTAAGTGTTGGTAAAGTCAACGTCTGACAAATGAGGACAGACAAGAAGAGTCACGCCATCTATCTAAAGTTCTCGTACATCATTCCTCAACATTCATAATACAACCGATTAGATAAACTGAGACAAAACCTCCTATCTTTTTTTATACAGGACTGTCGGTTACTTCATCCACCTCTAGGTCGTATATTCTTATATACTTTTTTGTACATAAAGAGCTAAAAATAACAAGAAAACTGTGAAAAGAGAGAGGTTTTATTATTCTTATACCATTTTCCTGAACATTTTCTTTTATCCTGATACGATTTTTGGTTCATTAAACGAATAAGTATAGTATTTATATATTTAACGTCCTCAGCAGGCTTTTTTTTGCTTTTTACCTGTTGTCTAAAACTCCATTAACGTAAATAAGTGGTGTACATTATCTATGTTGAGCATTTTTCGTTACTATTTTTTTACTATTTTTCGTGACAGCGGAATTTTATTTCGAAAAAGAGGCGATATAACGTAACTTTTGAACTTTCATTTAGATTTTTCGTTATGTATTCTCACAGCATTTTTATTAACCAACTCGAGTTAAAGTGGCTGGGTACTTGAATTATTTTTAAAACATAAATAATATATTACATTATAAGTGTGGGAGAGCCATGCTTCGGCACGAATGGGCCGGCTCGACCGGAGTGATACCACGACCTCACAGAAAACCGACGTGAAGCAACGCTTACGTTGTGTTTCGTCGTGTGAGTGAGGTTACCGGAGGCCCAATTACCTTCCCCTTCCCAAATCTCCCCAATCCCTGAATCCCCAACGATCCTCAAACTCCTAATCCCCAAAAAACCGGTGACGCACTTGTAACGCCTCTGGTGTTCCAGGTGTCCATGGGCGACGCCGACTGCTTACCATCAGGTGATCCGTCTGCTCGTTTACCGGCTTGTGTATGCCATAAAAAAACATATCCAGACGTATACATGTATTAAGATAGAAAAGAAGTCACGTTTAATAATTCACTTACGAGTATATGTCAATATTGGAAATATACATATATAGACATTGTATTCGACGTTCATACTTGCGTAAAATACTTCAAAATTACATAGGCTTGGCCGGTCAAAAGGTTCTTGTTATTACGTTTGAATAACTTATTTTAAGTTTTCTACTACAACTAGCAAAAGGTGACTTGACATTTACTTTCAATTCACATTCTTTTTCTATCTACGAAAATCTGTTACGTAATAATTAATTACAAACTCAATCCGAACTCCAATATAAGGCAATTTACGAAAAAAATTCATCCGAAAATAATAATGTCGCAAACCAATTAACTTTAAGTCGACAGATCAAAATGGCTTCCAATCACAATGGCAAATATTAAACTTGACTTTGTATTGTTATAATTTCACGACTTTTGATACTAAAACAAGAATTACAAAGTGATAGCGTTAACAAGGTCAAAATAAGGTTTATAAAGTGCCGATCTACTAACAATAGATAACAAAATATATTGAGGACTTAAAATAAAACAATTGTTTGAAACGGTATTTCAGATCGTTCTTAGTAAAAAATAGAGTAAATCGAATTTAATGACAATATTTATGTCTAAATATATAAATATTGTTTACTTCTTGTTCAGAATTCCAAGGTTCCTTTAGTAATAATAGTTCATTGTCATAGGTCATCAGTAAATAGAAATAGGCCTGTTCTCAATAAGGCCTAAATAAGACTCGTAACCCATTCACTTTTTGTGAGGGTAGAAAATCAGGCAATGACTTCTCCCACCTTGGATAAGAGGGAGGGTCAGACACTTATTGACTTATAACCTCCCGTCCCTACTCCAGCTTTGAGCTGGAGCCTTGGCAAATCGTTAAGTCTTCCACGGCTCCGGTTAAAACGCAACAGTTGAATAACCAAATTCACAAATAATTAAGCCTTTGACTGCTGACAGAAAAATATTGAAGGCAAATCCTCCGCTAACGTAGGTCACCGGTGACCTACGTGGCGGTTAACGTGTTAATGTGCTCAATCCTTTTGAACAATATAAGGACATAATTAATATAGATACGTATTTTTTTAAGGTGGGAAAATCATCGAATGACTGCTCCCGCCTGGGTGAGGCAGGAGCGGGAGAGAGTGTCAGACTCTTACTGACTAAAAACCACCCCGTTCCGAATCCTGCACGTCGAGCCGGAGCCCCGGTAACCCGTTAGGTTCTCCGCGACAATAGATAGGTCTAGGCTATGAGTTTGCTCATTTACCTCCTACCCTAGAGAATATGAAGAACCTTCTATTTGTTTAAAGTTGGTAAATCAAGATTCATTCACAAGTATCGATTATCTATTAAGGGATTAAGAAAAGCAATCGTAAACAGTATTTTAAGGCTAAAACAAACTATACAATAAACTCCGAGAACAAATACTCCGTGGCCGAGCCACGCAAAATGACGACGTTTTCGATATCTCATGGAACTTTTTCAACGATTACTTTCCTTATTGTTTTTCCTTTGTTTACTTACATGGTCCCCATAACATTTGAATCATAATGGTGTTTGTTTTATACTATCTGGGACGATTCTGCTCATGACAGTACCCATTTTATCCGTGTTTATTGGGTTTGGAATACTATTTACTAAAACTACCTATATTACTTTGCTATATCTTCGGATATCTTTGAAGAAAACAATCTATAGATTGATACTGAAATTGTATATATTCTTATGACTCTCAAGCAACATCATCAAGATATGACATATAATTACATAGTTATTTCTATTTAAACTTTAACATTCCAGTTAAAAACTCGTTAAAGAATCATAAGTACCAGATTGGACCTTTTGTAACATTTTCCTTTTAAATATAAAACCATTGTTTTTCTTTTATATTAACTCTTCTGAATGTACCGGTATTGGAAGTGGACATTAATTAATCAACGGCAATTCGGTTCGAAATGTGATGAAGTAATTAAAAATACTATTGAAGAAAATCTGTAAATTTCAATATCGTATTCCGATTAAATTTTGACCAATTTAAATACCAAACTGACTATAAGTTATGGCGCGTTTAAAAGAGTGTCAGTCAATAAACATAATTGAATCGAATCAATCAAATACGTAATAGGTTTTCATTCAGGCCGTAAATGTCTTCTATACGTAAAATAAAATTGAGTGTTAATTAAAATTGCCTATTGATGAAAAACTAAAAAAAGTATATTTAAGAAGGTAGCTTTCATTCTAAAAGAGAAGTATAAGACTTTTGTTTCTATAACATTTTTTTATAAAAACTATTAGCCTGTCTCGTTAGCCTAATGGTCGCAAGTGTGACTGCTGGTGAAGGGGTCTCGGGGTCGATTCCCGGGTTGGGCAAAGTATTACTTTATTTCTTCATCTTTCTTTACTTACTCGGCTTTTTAAAAAAATATCAGTAGTAGCACGGAATCTAGAAACGTACCCGGCTCACCCCCTATTACATGGGACTCATAACGTACTATAAATAGTGAAAAGTAGGTGTTACATTATACAGTGCCATTAAGTTGTGTAAAGTACACCTCTGCCCTACCCCTTCGGGGGTAAAAAGGTGTGATGTTATGTAAAAACTACTAGCCGCAAGGATTTGCATACTTAAACTTTTTACCAATGTCCTGTTGAATATCTAAGGGGGCGTCCATAAATTACGTGAGGTATTTTTTTAAATTTTCTGACCCTCCCTCCCCCCTTGGTGAGATGTCGTGAGATTTTATTCAACCCCCTCCCCCATCCCCCAATCTCACATGAGATTTTTCGGAATGTGGGTTTCTTACATAAACGCTTTGGATTTTTATTGTGAAAAGAAAAAAACAATTTGATTCGTGCTTTTATTTAAGACTAGTTAAGACTAGTAATCAATATTGCTGAGAGTAATAAATGTAATAAAAATTTAACAATAGAATACTTAAATCTAGCTACTGTGATTAAAAAAAAAAGAATATCTACTCTAATTCAGTCCATGGGGAATTATGCGCGTTCTCAAGAGAGACTATTGGAACCAACATGTCCATATGATTTTCAGTAAAATCATCTGCCCCTTCAACTTCGTTCTGATCTAGCCACTCCAAGCCGTTGGCGCTTGCACACAGTAACTCATTAGCTCGTCTTGTGACAATCCTTGATGGTCGCATTTTGCAGAGCATACGTGCTTGTTTAGCTGGTGCAATGTGGGCGGCTCGCCTGTGCTCTGCAGCTCTTGTGACAGATGCAAAGTAAATACCGCATGTACTGCAGCATCTTTTCTCTAAAACATCATGTACACTTGGGCAATAGAGATCATAAGGCGTGCTGATGAAGGCATTCAGCGGTTGAATCGGTAGGCAGTTTCGTATTAGAAATGGAGCAAATGACTTTCCGTCATGCTCTTTAAAGTCCGGAATTATTAAATGTCCATCAATCTGAGTGATAGGGTATGGAGGTGGCAGAAAACGGTCGTGAAGAATCATATGTAGATCAC